TTGCAGGAGCATAGACAGATGCTGTCCAGTGCTGCAGGCTGTGAAAGTGCAGGTGCACATGTTGGATTATGCATGTAGTCACTGCCATAGGGTCCATAAGTCTTAGGCAAGTAAGTACTGAAAATGCTCTGTGCCTACCATGAAATAAAGGAGTGTTCTATGGGCAGGATGGATGGTAATGTGGAAATAGGTATCTTGGAGGTTGAGGGCAGCAAACCAGTCTCCATTGTCTAATGCAGGGATTACTGATGCAAGAGCGACGGTTCTGAAACGCTGCTTGCGGAGGTAACAATTGAGCTTCCGCAGATCTAGAATGAGTCTCCACCCACCTGTCTTTTTGCACATGAGGAAATAGCAAGAGTAAAATCCCTTCCCTTTGAACTCGTCCGGCACCTTCTCCACTGCTCCTATGGAAAGATGATTGACTTCTTCCCGTAGCAAGAGCTCATGAGAGGGGTCCATGAAGAGGGACGGGGAAGGTGGTGGGAGAGATAGGAAGGGCATGGGATATCTCAATGCGACTATTTCCAGAACCCAGCGGTCAGTCATAATCGCAGACGATCGGTGGTAAAATGGCCTCAGGCGGAAATGGAATGTTGGTGAGTTGTGATGCTGCTGTTTGTCAACTGAAAGAAGTGTAATGCCCTCGACTAAAGAATCAAATCCGTTTCGCGGCCAGCTGGTTCTGCATGCGGTTATTCTGGTTTCAAAGTTGTTGCGGTCGCTGGTGAGAATGCAGGTGATCAAAGGCGCACGCATTGTTGCTGCTGTCTGTTATGTGTGTAGTCGTACTGTCTCCGGTATAGGAAGCAGCATTTCCATCTGTACGGGGGAGTGTACATACCCAAAGTACGTAATGTAGTATGTGAATTCTTACTCGAGGGGAGGACCTCATCTGTCTTTTCAGCAAATAGTTTGTGTTTGTTGAAAGGTAAATCTTCAACTGTATTCTGTAGGTCCCTAGGTACTCCCACAGTTTGGAGCCAGGATATCCTTCTCATTACGATTGCTGTGGCTGTTGATTGAGCAGCTGTGTCTGTAACATCCATTGCTATCTGGAGGCCTGTCCTAGCAGATACATAGCCTTCCTCGACGATTGACTTCAGTATTGGCCTCTTGGATTCTGGAAGGTGATCCATGAGGGTTGTCAATTTAGTATAATTATTGAAATTGTGGTTCAATAAAAGCACTGAGTAATTAGCTACCCGAAGTAGTAATATAGCAGAGGCATATACTTTTCATCCAAATAAATCGAGGCGCTTCCTATCTTTGTCCGCAGTAGCATTCTTATATTGGGGCGTTTTGGATCTATGATGTGCTGCATCGACAACCACCGAATTGGGTTGCAGATGGGTAAACAAGAATTCCATGCCCTTAGACAGAACAAAGTATTTCGTATCCCCCCCATTTATCCATTGGTGGTGCAGTAGCCAAGGTCTGCCAAATTTCCTCCGCTGCCTCTACAATAACCTCATCCAGGGGAATCACTATCTTGGAACGGTGAGCAGGTTTGGAGGTTCTTAAGGAGCCAGTACTGTTTTCCTTGTTCTTCTGCCAATTGGATCTCCTGACTTGCTGCCATCCTCTTAAACAGGTCTTGAAACTGTTTAAGATCATCCAGAGGAGACATCTCCGGGAATAACAGCCTCAATGGGGGAAAAGGAAGACTGATCTGTGGAGGAGCTGTCAGGTGGTTGCTCCTCCCTATCTGAGACTTGTCCCTCCTCAGGCTCAGAATGATGTAGCTGAGGGGATGATGGCTGCGAAGGGGGGTGGCATTGAGGCAAGGCCGAGACTGGTGGTTATCTAGGTGACATTCAACCACACAGGGACCATCCTCTAGAGAAGGCGATCGGTGACATCAGTGGAAAGAGTAGTGATGAGATCCACGATGGTAATGGTCGTAGTGATAGTGTGGTCTACCTGGGGATGACCGTCTGGAAGAATGCGAGTGCCTATAATCTTCCCAGTAGGCAGTATGTGGAGATACTGGAGAATGAATGTTTCTAAGCTGCTCTAGAACATTGGTTCCCAAACTGGAGGGCATGAAGAAATTTCAAGGGGGGGGTGCAAGGTGACCCAGTCCCCCCCCATCGTTCCCCCACTTGCCCATGGCCCCACTTGCACCCTGCTCTTACCTCCTACCCAGATACCACCAGCATTCTGCCCCTGCCTCCTAACCAGACACCCATCAGCACCCTACTCCTGCCCCCTCCCTCCTGGCCAAACACCTACCCCCAGCTTATACCTGTACCCTATTTTCCACCCAGATTTTGCACCCCATCACTATCCCACTCACTGGCACACTGGATCCCCTGTACTGCACACTAGAACCCTCAATTTTTAGCTCCACCTCCAAGTGTAGAGAGGATCCACAAATTCCACTTACCCTGGTACCCCAGAAGAGTTTATCTGGCCTGAGGCCGTGAACCCTCTCCCCATGGGGCGGGGGTACCATGGGAGGGGAGGTGTTTCAGTTAGGGCCACATCAATGAGGGGTGGATTTTTTTTTTTGCATCTCACGTGTGTGGTCCCTGACTGATTTTTCCCTGACCCAAAACAGGTTCCCCACCCCTCCCATAAAGAAAGACAATGCTGAAACATTTGTATTGGACATATTTTATTTAAAAATGAAGCCTGGCCAACAAGCCCCAATTGGGGCCAACCCCCCATCTGGCTGCAGCATCATAACACTCCTGCATCCCCCCCCCCCCCACACACACACACCCTGAGACTATCATACACTAGAACCCCCTGTCCTGAGCACCTCTCATCCCCAGTCTTCTGCCACAACACTACTGAACAATCAACACACTGCAAATCTGCGTCCTGTGCCCATCATACTCCTAACCCCCCTGCCCTGAGCCTCTTCTGCACCCTCATGTCCACAAACCTGTGGTTTGCTCAGCACCCCAACCCTCCATCTGACCAACACTCTCGAACCTGGAGCCCCCTCCCTGAGCCAGCAGCCCCTTCTCCACCTCCTCCTACACCCAAATTCCCTCCCAGAGTTTGCACCTTTCACCCCTTCCCCCACCCAAATCCCTCATTTCAAACCTAGGATTCTCCACCTTGTGAAGGATGCTGCTGCATTTTCTTCAAATTAAATTTATTTCTGCTATTTCTTATGTTAAATTACATTTTTATTAAATTTTTGTGACAAGAAAAACTGTTCTTATTTTTAATTTTAAATTACTAATTGAATTTTTTGTTAAAAGGGGGGGTTGGATGATGGTAAAGAAGAGGTGGGGAAGTGGGAGGGTTTCTCAAAAATCAAAAAGGGGGCATGATGCTGAAAAGTTTGGGAACCACTGCTCTAGTAGATGCTAGTGGGTAGACTGAAATGAGTCTAGAATAGTAATAAGAGCACCGTATGGGTTCTGCGGTAGATTCAGATGGTACCCTGCAGTGTGGGGAAACGAGGTGAGCCATTCTGCTTGAGTGGTCACCTATGCAATACCTGAGATACCGGAGCCGCAAGGGGTGGTGACTGTTCCGGAGAAAAAGTTGGCGAAATAGAGCATGGGGTAGGGCTCCATGGTCTATCCGTCTTACATGAGGCCTTTTTGTGGATCGGGACCCGTTCGGATCTTTCCAGTGCCAGTGGTGTCTCACACAGTGCTGGGGCTGTCGGTGCCGATGGAGGGGTCGGTGCCGTCCTAGCGACCGAAGCCGCCGGTGCCGAGATCTCTCAGTTCTGTCCGGTGCCGTGATGCCTGCACCATAGAAGGCACTTTCATTGTTTTGGAGGCTGGAACCGTCTTGGAATGAGAAGAGGCGGTGCCGGATGTGCTTGGCTTGTCCCCAATGCTCACCATGCTCCAAGAAAGGGATGGCAGGGAGCACGTTGGTGACACCTTGGTTCTTTTGGGCAGAGCGGAGGCTGGTGAAAAAGCTCTCCATTTTTGGGGAACAGACGGTTCTGAAGCAGCCATGGACTCCGTGTCCAATGGCTGGAGCGCCTTATCAAACAGAATCATTCTGAGGTGCATTTCTCTATCCCAACATGCCCTTGCCATTAATGTGGAACAGTGAGGGTATTTCTGTGGGACGTGAGCCTCGCCTAGACACCGGATACAACACAAATGGCCATCTGAGGCAGACATGGCTTCATAACATGTCGCACTTTTTAAAATTTGGTGAACCAGGCATGATGAGTCATAGTCTTTTCTTTTTCTCTCTTTTCCCCCATCCCCTTTCAGCCTGAAGGGTGAGAGCAACAGGATGTTGCATACCTAATCTAACTAACTATATACAGAAGGAAAAAAAAACTTTAAAAAACCAACCCGTAATATGGTGTTTCTAACTAACGAAGTTTGGAACTAATTCACAAAGGATTAATACTGTGACTGGAATCAGTTGAGGAGAGATAGTTTACTCTATCCCCAGTTGGGGGCAACTGGAAGGAATTGGCAGGAGCCAGACTGCGCGCATGTGCAAAAGAGCTCGAACACCGCAAGGCACTGACCACATGTGCACAGTCCAGCCGAACACCGCTATGAAAAATCTCCGATCTGCGGTGCCGGGATGAGCCCGACACCTACAGTGGAGCACCCACGGGGACATCACTCAAAGAAGAACCAGAGACAGAGAGAGAGAGAGAGAGAGAGAGAGAGAGTGTGTCTGACTAAGTGCCACTGTATGCATCTGACAAAGTAGGTTTTTGCACACAAAAGCTTATGACCTATGAATGTTAGTCTAAGGGCCACAAGACTGCTCCTTGTTTTTAAAGAATGGAGGAGTTTCTCTTCTGTGCCCATTTTTAGAACCCCGTTGACCTTTTCCAGGAATTGCCGCCATGTCGTGGGACCAAGTTATGCTGTAATAAGAGCATCTGCTCCCCTTATTACTACATAAGCATGTCCTATAAACATGCTGAACAATGTGCCTATAATTCATTGGTTCTAATAAATCCTATCATTCCTGACAAAGGTGTATGTTATGAGATCTCCAAGGATCTAGAGAATACATTATGCATATTGTAAAAGCAGAATTCTCACATTTAAAACACATTTCCAATCTGGAGTTCTCTGCTTGCACACGAAGTTCCTCAAAGGCCAATATCATTCTCTAAAAAAATTTAAAAATATCAACAAATGTTCATAGTTAATAACTTATAATGAAAAAGTAATGTATACACCATTTAAAAATATGCATTATTCTAAGCCAATGTTTCTAAATTAAAAAGTACTTTGTTAAAAGAGAGTTACAGTTAAAAACAGACAGCTATTAATTTAAATCAGTTACTTCAATTTCCAGTTTTTAAAATAATTCCATACTTTAGAGCAGGGACCAAATTTTTGGTACATATTTGTACAGTGCTTAACAAAATGTATCCCTGGTGCACAATATGGAGTGCCTAAGTGCTAATAGAGCACAAGTAATAACTAAAAGTCATAAGTTAAAAAGAGTAACATTTAACTTAACTATTTTAATATCAAATGTTATACGCCAAGATAAAAATGCCTCTCCATTCTCACTGACAAATATTCAAATTCTCACTATCTCCCCAATGAACTTCAGAAAAAAAGAAAAAAGGCAGGGGGGAATGGCAAATGAACTTTGCAAGACTCTACCAAGGGCCTTACAATTACTTTGTTTAAAATGCCAAAAGTCCAGACAAAAATGGTGTAAAAATCGTAAGATCTTCCTCTTATCCCTAATCTTTTCTCCACCTATTCATGTTCCTCCACAAAATATATTAAGGCTTTGTCTATGCTACCACTTAGGTCTATACAAATTAGTTGCCCAGGGTTGTGAAAAAGCTACCCCTCTAAGCAATGCAAGTTACATCAAATTAAAATGGCAGCTATATCATGCTATGTTGTGGGGAGACTCTCTCCCACCAACATAGCCTCCGCCATTGGTTCACGTGGAGTAATTATGCTGATGGGAGAGTGCATAGCACAGTAGTGTAAACTAGTCTTAAGAATAAATTTTTGTTCTACTTAGTATGATTTCTGTACTTAAAACTGGCGTATATTTTCAATTTTCATGATACAATTGTATTGCACCTTATGTTTGTAAGTATGTTCATTTTCAAATACAGCTCTTCACGTTAAAAAACCACCACCAACCCAACAGATTTCTTACAACCGGGCTACTTAACACATGGCACGCTGCCTGTTTGTTTGCAGCCTGCGGTGCAGTTTGGGTTTACATAGGGTTCAACACACAATCAGCAAGTGAGATCCTTTGAATATGGTCTCCATTGGGAACACGCTGGTGAGTCAATATAATGGTCTTCTGTTGCTATGCATTTTAGTAGTTAAATTCCTGGACTGTCGTTGCTCATTAAAAGTGTTGTCGTATGAGTGGAAATTGGGTAAATATTGCATGGGGCTGGACTTGATGACCTTCTGAGGTCTCTTCCAGTTCTATGATTCTATGATTCAGCAGAACTGACTTACATGGGGCCTGTGTGTTGTGTAGTCTTGCCTTAATCTTTGCATTCATGCCCGTCAGTGTGAAAGAAGCTATTCGCATATATATTTGCATGTACATGCACCCACACCGAAGTTGCGGCTCTCAGCATGTGCTGTGAGTATCACTGTGGCCCCCGGGGCTTCCAAAGTTGAGTAGCCGTCTTACAATTATGTTTTTACTAGAAGACTTACCCAGCACCTTCAGGGCACACTGCTGGCAGTGTGGGGGATGCAGGAGTCAGGAAGGACCTTGGGGGGGCTTAGGGCAGGAGGCCAAGGACATGGGAGGGTGCAAGAGTCAGGCTGGAATGTTGAAGAGAGAGCCAGGGCAGAGAAGATGCAGTAGTCAGAGCAGGGGTTTGGGAGAAAGAGGAACTCAGGGGAAGGAGAGTTCAGAGGAGGGGATGGCAATTGCCTTTGGTGTCACCCATCCGGTTGGCTTCTCCCTAGGGATGGCCAGGGCAGCAGAGACCGCACATTCCACCCTCTGGCTTCTCCCTCTCCCCACTCCCACTCCAGGTGTAAAAGGACTCTCCCTCATCACCCCCCCCCCCCCCCCCCCACACACACACACTTTGGTGCTGTAGCCAAGGATAGGAGGGTATTTGGACCAGAGGGGCCACTTACCCAGTCAGGTAGCCAACAAGATGGCAAGCCCCAGTCCCAGCCAGCCATTCTCTTGGTGGTGCGACTACCTCTAGTGGTTACTCTGCAATATAGCTGTCCCTCACAATCACTGTCCCCAATGGTCACTCTGCAATATAGTGTTGCTCCTCTCTGCCCCTTCCCTCTCTTTCCATGTTGTAATGGACAGCAGGAGTACAGATCAGCACCCAGAGATGAAGGGATTAAACTCAGATAGCTAGAAAAGCTGTTGGCCAGGAGAACCAGTCAAGATAAAGGGATGAAATTTGAATTGGCCATATAGATTCCTTGCCTGCTTTCTTTGTATGAGAGAGAAAAAACAAGGAGTTGAGAGACATAGAATGATTTAAACTCAGACAGGACTACCATGTCTCCAAGGAATTTGGGGCATGGGAGTGGACTGAACAAAGTGAAAATTGGAAGTAAGGAAGTGGAAAAGTCAATCTAGTCACATTCAGGGTAATTTTTCTTTAGTTTGTGGTTTGGTTTGAACTGCTCTATGTGAATTTACGCCTCCTCTCCCCATTTACCATTAGCACTGTGCCCAGAGACTTTTCTCAGTATTTTAATTTGTTTTCCTTAGGTGCTCTGTAACATCTAGCAGCCAAGTATGCTTTAATCAAGTTTATCTTTTGTTTTGTAATTTAAAAAAAAATCACTTTAAGGTGATTTGATTCTTGTGTACTGGAGAGTGTCTGTCTATATGGTTATGCATGCCTCAGACTGACAGGTCAACTACTAGGGACTGCAGCTTGTTTTCCTCTTTTCAAGCTCTTTTGAGGCAAAAGAGCTTGGGGTACTCCTGGGAGTGGGTTCAATTGTTCATCCCTGGTTTTTAGGATCAAAATCACTTTATGGTGGCAACGATCCCCCAAAATGTGTATATTGTGATTCTGGAGGAGAAGGTTTTAGTACCAGTGCCTGCAGAGGCAAAGGTTTTGTTTTTTTTTTTCTTTTGAGTTCTTTGCGGGGCCCCCATCTTCTGCACTCAGAGTGCCAGAGTGGGGAAAAGCCCTGACACATTATGGAAAACACTCCCATTCCAGGCACTTCCCATTTCCTGGCACAACCAAACCCTGACCTTGCTTTAAGTTAGGAAAAGAGGAAGTTGCATACCAAATTGGGTGATCCTAGCTCTTACCATTAAGGAGGAATTCTTGAACAGACTCAGATGGACGGACAGACAGATATATAGATAGATCATCAAGATTTGGGCCCTCATTTCCAGTAGCTGTCCATGTGACAATGGCAGTGAATAATGGGAGACCATGGGAACTTGTTTTAGTTTTATGAATAATCCATGTATTCAGTTTTACTTTGTATTGCTACCCACTAGGTACAAAGAGATTAATTTCTCCCTGGCACAGAGAAGTGAGACATAAGTAGATGTCATCCTTGAGGGATGACAGGAGACTCAATGACTGAAAATTAACTTTTATCTGACTGGGAGACAAGTTAGGTTGCATCTATAAGGGTACAAATACAACAGTTTAAGTTTTGTCGCTGCCTGGAGAGAAAGGCAGGGCCTGGGAGAGAGAGACTAAGATAGATTCAAGAACGCCATGAAATTGTGCAGCTTTTTTCTGCTAATATAGACTATTTTCCATGCTGACCTAAGGACTCTCAAATGCTGTATTTAAACTGACTAATACTGGCTTGTTCTTAAACGGCTATCCTCTGTCACTGCAAATACTGGTTACGTTACTCCCTGAAGCAGTTAGCATTTCTAAAAGGAGCCTGAACTTGTTCAGATTTGCTGCAGAGCCACAGAGAAAAATCAAAAGTACTGGAGCCTAAAAGTCTAGTTTAGGAGCTATAGAACTATAGATCACATCCTTTTAAAAATACTTTGCTTGGCAAAAATAGGGATATTCCAAATATAAAGGCAGGGGCTGTAAAGATTCAGGGGGTTGCATCCTCACTTTCAACAGACCTACAAGGTTTGGGGGAGCAAGGAGCCCGGGTCTGATACAATCCATTGTTGTCACCAATGAAAACAGATAAAAGCAAGCATCTCACTAGTCCTAACTTTCTAAGATTCACAGGAATTCCTATTGGAATACCCAAGGCCTGGAGCCATCTGACTTGCTCATACCCATTACTTTCACCAGGAAGGACCCCAGGCAGGGCCGTCTGACCAACTAAGCAGACTCTTTCGTGCTGCTGCAATAGACCCCATTATTATCTTTCTTTTGCAATCTGCATCCAGTTTTGTTCCTAGTTCCACTCTGCTCTTGTCCTGTGCCCGACCTGACCCCTATCTTGCTCCTACCCAAGTTCCTCAGTTCCTGCCTTGTTCCTGCTCTGTGCCTGATTCTTGCCTCATTCCTGCCACTATGTCTTGTTCAGACCATCATCCCTATCAATCCTGTCTCTGACCCCTAGATTGATTTTTGGCTTCAGACTCTGACCGGACCCCCAACTACCCATCTCAGTCCCTTCCATTAGTCCAGACCATCTACATCCCAGTTCCTAGCAGCGGCACTGAACCTCCTGTAGATGAATGACAAATGTGTTTTGTATTTAAGAATCTCAGCATTCATATCAACTCAATTCAGCTGTTGAAATTCAGAGTTGTTTTGAAATAGTTTACAATTAGTCACTTACCTCAATATTATTATTAAGTGTCACATATAGATGTCTGGTTTCTTCTCTTTCATGTTCATCTGCCAATGTAAAAATACATTGAACAAAATTTTACTTTTAAAATTGTGTACTAGGGATATTAAATATCAGTTAATAGTCAATTAACTCCAAGAATTTGTATTGGTTACCAATCAGAGGCAGCAGCACAGGGTACCAGGTGGGAGTTGGTCCGCTAGTGGAGCCAGTTTAAAAACTGTCTCCCCTCACAGACTGGCCGCCTGTTGCCCCATGCCGCTGCCTCTGATACAGAGGGGTAAGCAGCAGCCCCTGTCTCGGGGGGAGGGAGGTGGGCTGAGCTCCCGGACACAGCACAAGCTGGAACTGAGCCAGGCTACCTACCTGCCTGGCTCCTAATACACTTTAAATGCAGAGCCGCAGCACAGGTAGGTCCCAGATCTGGTGCAAACCAGGACTGAGCTGGGCTGCTGGCCAGCCTGCTTTAAAAAAAAAAAAAAAAAAAGAGGGGGGTAGGTGGAAAACGCATGTAGTCTATAACATTAACGGATAAGCTTTGCATTACTACATCCCTAATGTATACCATAAGCAATAAAAATATACAACATGGGCAACAAGAGTTACCTAAGCATTTCATCACACAGTACATTTATATAGATATGCGGATATAGCTTTTTCTTGTCATTTTACCAAAATGTCTGCAAAAATATTGTTGGAAAATTATTATGCAAGGCAGAAAAAAAAATATATATTCTCTATTTAAATATCATTCCAGATCAAGTTACATCTTTTCATTCTGAATCCCACTTCTTCCAGACAGAAAAGCAGGCTAGATGTAAATCTAGGATCAAATTGTATAACCGTATTATTTTTATTATTATAACAAATTCTGATACATCAATAAGCAGCAACAGCGGGACTAAAGATGAGTCGATAGTTCCATTGTTTCATTGAGATCACTTGAAGAATAAGGAGGTCAAGTGATATGGTCCCAGAATTACACATGCTAGGGCCACATACAACTGCATGTTTCTGAATCACTCAAATTTTTTAAACGTATATAAAAGATTCATTAGCTGGCCAATTTCCAATAGCCATTATGGCAAAAATGGGTCTTGAGCAATTTGAGGGGGCACTGATTTTAAAGATAAATTCTGTAAAGGTGTTCCACATGTAAGAGAGCACAGAGAAAGTGTGATATCACGTGGAAAAAGCAGCCAAATGGACTATCAAGGCAAACATCATAGATAGAGACAAAGGAATATGGAGCTGATGAATGACAAAAACAAATAACTAAGATGAAGCTATGAAAGGCCTCCAAGATGAAAACAAAACATTTGAATTTGATACAGTGGAAATCAGGATCAGAAGAGAGATCCAAAGGGATCTGTGAAATAGTGCAACAGGAAAAGAAAATTATATTGGCAGCTTCGTTTTGTATGGACTAAAGAGGGATGATGTCAATGCCTTTGAAAAAGGTTTCAAAGCCAGGAAACAACTGTTACAAATCTTCTACATCTTGCACTTAAGACTTTCACCCCTGAAGCTGACAATGTCGTTGCTCCTCAGACCACAATTCTCACGAAAGATAATGGTCAACAATGTGGCTACTCACAATATTAAATTTAAATGTGTACGTTTGTGCAGGGTTGAGGCCAAAGAAACTGAGCAACTCACTGGTAGCACAGGTCCAGCACCACTGTGGGTTCTGAAGATTAATCCAGATCAAATTCAAGATTAAAGTCTCAAATCAGGAAAGAAAATTATGCATGTGCTTAAGTAAAGTACTTAAATTATATTTAATGAGACTATTACATTTACACATCTGCTTAAATATCTTCCCAAATCAGGGCCTAAATGGGTATCCAATGTAAGATAGAGAACACCTGGATGATGTGCTTATTTGGTTCCACACTGCTTAGGAAGAGAGCTGCTCCAGTCAATGAAATTAAGACCACAAAACTAATAGCTATTAGGTTTATTGCTTATTTTCTATAGAAAACTTTATCTTAACGAGATGAGCCATGCACAAGTTACTCAAACTAGACTAGAATCCATGCCAGCAGAAAAAGTTTATTCTACCATGGAACACTGTGCATTTACAAATGTAAAACAATATCTAAATAATATTTACATTTGTTGGACTTCTCCGTATATCGAGCACAGGTTTCCTTGAGCAGGTTACACAAATGTCTTGTTGCAGTATTTCTGAAAGAAGAAAAAGCTTTTTTAATATAATATTACAGGAGTTCACAGTATTTTAAAGATATAAAAGTGACAAGTATTTGCCTTAAGAAACTTTGCAGTCACATGTCTTTCCTGAAGAGCAGTTATTTAAAATTATAACTAAAAAATGAGAGTTGTTCACTATGAAAACTAATTTTTCTAAAACATTTTATTCATATTACTCACTCTTGTAGAAGATCTTTATTTTCACATATCTCATCTTCCAATTTCAAACTTAGTTTTTCATTTTCAAACTAGTTTTATAAGAGATGCAAATAAAAAATGTTATTCAAAATACAATTATCTATCTCCATTTCATTTCAAATCTCACCTAGTAATATATTTTTTCTGCACAGTTAACTATGCCTCCTATTGCCTCTCTCTGTACTATTATTTCACTGTGGGTATGTCTAGTCTACACACTTCTTTCAAAAGAAGCTTTTTCGAAAATTTTTTGAAAAAGCTTCTTTCGAAAGAGAGAGTCTAGACAGCCACAACTTTTTCAAAAAAGTGATCCTCTTTTTCAAAAGAGAGCACGCAGGCAATCCGGATGCTCTCTTTCGAAAAAGCCCTGTTTGCGGTCAAGAATGCCTTTTTTCAAAAGAGCTTTTTTGTAAAAGGGCTTTCTTCCTTGTAAAATGAGGTTTACTGCTGTCAAAAAAACCACCGCATTCTTTCGATTTAATTTCGAAAGAACGCGGTGGCAGTCTAGACGCAGGTGAAGTTGTTTAGAAAAAAAACGTGTAGTCTAGACATAGCCCGTCACTGCAATATTTAACTTTGAACCATGTTTTGTGATATAGTTTGTATGAAGGGGGAATAAAAGTATCAAGTTTCACTGTACTCTTTTTATGTTACAGAAAAGATTCATTTCATGTTTTAATTACATTCTTTTTTTTCTTTGTATAGATTAAATCACTTTTTTCTTTCAAGACAAAATATTCATTACTGAGGGTACATTTTTACATTTTAAATTAAATAATGAAGTTTTAATTGTAAAAAGGAAACTGTCCAATTTTTTCCCCAAAATAATTGCTTAAAATAATTTGAGTTGTAATCATTATTGAATATTATCAGAATCAGAATTATATTTGTATTTTCTCAGAATGTTTTTATTCTTAAACATATATTTTAATGTATCATAGAGAAAACTTGCCTGTAACTCCTGAATGGCTTTACGTTGTGCTTCAATAATCTTTTTATTTTCTTGCAATTTTCTCTCCTTCTGCTTCAGTTCAGATTCTATAGTTGCTTTCCACCTCTTGATCTTTTCAGCCTCTTTGTAGAGTTTTGAATAAAGCTCATGCATTGTCTCTACATTCTATTGAAATAGGTTTCACAAATTAATTTGAAATACTGTTTAATTAAAAATATTCTACAGGTTGAACCTCTGTAGTCCAGAATCCTTGGGACCCAACTGGTGCCAAACCAGAGAATTTTCTGAACCACAGGAGGTCAATATTGTCTAGCAGCATTACCAACATTTCCTCTGCTTACTGGGCTCTTGAAAGACATTTAGGAGTAAATCAGAGCTAAATAACAGCACAGAACATTGAGAGCCAGAACTGGTAGTTGTGAACAAAATTTACAGGACTGCAGGAAACTTGACCCACTCATGTGAAGTGGATATCCAGCTAGCTAAAATCATGCCAGACCACGGATGTTGCCAGACTACAGAAGTTCAACTTATACACACATCTGCTTCTTAGAAATATCGTAAGAATTGTTGAAAAGTAAGAGAGGAATAGCCGTTTTAGTCTGATCTTAGTAAAACAAAAGGAAAAAAATATATAGCACTTTAAAGACTAACAAGATAGTTTATTAGGTGATGAGCTTTGGTGGGGCAGACCTACTTCTTCAGATCATATTTGAAAGTGAATTGGCATGACCATATATAACAAAGGAATACAATGAAGAAAGTAAACAGATTATATACTAACAAATCAGCTGCTAGAACAGAAGGTGGGGTGAAGGACAAGGAAGGAGGAAATAGCTTATTGTAAGTCATTAAATGGCTAATCTGGAGTTACTACAAATATCAAAAGGTGGGGAGGCTGTCTTTGTAATGTGTAAGGTAATTAGCATCTTTATTAAGGCCCATTCACAACCTGTCTAATTTAAGCATAAATACAAGTTCTGGAGTCTGCCTCTGTAATGTAGCATTAAAGTCTCTTTGAAGAAAGAGGCATGTTTTCAGGTCTTTAAGGGAAATGGCCAGTTAGATTAAAATGTTGACTAAACAGGTTTGTGTGTGTGGAGATGTCTGATTTGTGTGCATTAATTTTTTGGCAAAGTGACTGAGCAGTTTGTCCAGTATACATTGCAGAGGGACATTGCAGCACATGATGGCATATATCACATTGCTGGACATACAGGAATATGAGTCCTTGATCGTATAACTGACATGCTTAGGTCCAGTGATGGTGTCTCTAGAGTAAATATGTGGTTGTTATTAAGAATCTTCATGAGGTTAGGTGGTTGTCTATAGGAGAGTATAGGTCTGTCCCCCAGAGCCTCTAGGAGTGTAGTATCCTGTTCCAGTATAGATTGTAAGTTATTGATAATGCATTGGAGGGGTTTAAGTTGGGGGCTATAGTTGATGACAAGTGGTGTTCTATTGTTGGTTTTCTTGGGCCTATCTAGAATTAGATGGCTTCTGGGTATTCGTCTGGCCCTTTCAATTTGTTTCTCTATTTACCCCGGTGGGTAACTGAGTTTTACAAATGCTTGGTAGATATCTTGAAGTTTTTGGTCTCTGTCAGTGGGATTGGAGCAGATGCAGTTGTATCTAAGGGATTGACTATAGATGATGGGTCATATGGTGCGTTTTGGATGGAAGCTAGAGGCATGTAGGTAAGTGTAGTAGTCAGTGGGCTTCCTGTAGAGAGTGGTATTGATTTTGCCATCAGTGATTTGTACTGCGGTGTCCAGGAAATTGATCATTCATGTCGAATGGTCCAGGCTGAGAATGATGGTGGGATGTAGGTTGTTAAAATCCCAGTGGAATGTGGCCAGTGTTTCTTGACCATGGGTCCAAATAATAAAGATGTCATTGATGTAGTGTAAGTAAAGGAGGGGTAATAGAATCACTGACATCTGTAACAAATTGCAGAGCAAGCTGCTGAATCTTTAGGGGCTGAAATTTAAACTGGAATTTTGCAGCACCGTTGATGCATTATTCTGAATGCTTATAGCAGCCACTAAGAACACGGTGTACCAACTGTTTCACAGAATAAGAAACAGAAAAAGGGCATAATTAGAAATCAATAACAATAACGGAAAATTGTTCTTAGATCCTCCAACATAGATGAAGGCAAATCCTGGCAGTCATGGATGATTACACTGGGTGAAAATACTCATGGAAACTGCGTAATCATGGGAGATTCAACTTTCCAGATATAGACTGGAGAACAAGTTCTAGTAATAATAATAGAGCTCAGATTTTCCTAGATGTGATAGCTGATGAATTCCTTCATCAAGTAGTTGCTGAACCAACAAGGGGGGATACTACTTTAGATTTGGTTTTTGTGAGTAGCAAGGACCTCATAGATTAAATGGTTGTAGGAGACAACCTTGGCTCGAGTGATCATGAGCTAATTCAGTTCAAATTAAATGGAAGGATAAACAAAAATAAATCTAAGACTAGGGTTTTTGATTTCAAAAGGGCTAACTTTAATAAATTAAGGAAATTAGTTAGGGAAGTTGATTGGACTAAAGAAATTATGGATCTTGAGGTGGAGGAGGCCTGGAATTATTTTAAGTTAAAGTTGCAGAAGCTGTCAGAAGCCTGTATCCCAAGAAAAGGGAAAAAATGTATAGGTAGGTGTGTTAGACCAAGTTGGATGAGCAAGAATGTCAGGGAGGTGATTAAGAAAAAGCAGAAAGCATATAAGGAGTGGAAAATGGGAGGGATCAGCAAAGAAAGCTACCTTATTGAGGTTAGAGCATGTAGGGACACAGTGAGAAAGGCTAAAAGTCAGGTAGATTTGGACCTTGCAAAGGGAATTAAAACCAATAGTAAAAGGTTTTATAGACATATAAACAGGAAAAAAACAAAAGAAGAAGTAGGACCGCTAATTACTAAGGATGGAGTGGAGGTTAAGGATAATCTAGGAATGGCCCAATATCTAAACAAATACTTTGCTTCAGTCTTTAATGAGGCTAATGAAGAGCTTAGGGATAATGGTAAGTTAACAAATGGGACT